TATCCACGCTTCACAGCCCTCTTCCAAATGGAGCCGGGCGAAGCGGCGGTGGCGGCGGTGGCAGCAGTGGCATCAGCAATAGAAGAAGCAGCAGCAGCAGCAGCAAAAGGAGGTGAACGCCAAAGCCATGCGGCTCCTGCTCCAGATGAACCAGCAGCCCGGAAGTGATGATAATGCTGTTTAAGATTGGCAGGGATACTTTTTACAGTCTCATAAATAAAGTGTGCGGAGACTGTGTTTGCCTTGCGTTCCTTTAGCACGTGTGTGTTCGCACATGCGAATAGGTTGATTCGAAGCGGGCTTGAAGTAGCTGTTTATAGGTGTTCCTGAACCTTACCCCTTACCCAACATCCCAGCAGCAACCCGTAACAGCCCCCCAGACATGGAAGAGGCGCTCGGTGTCCGAGAGACCCCGGCTCGACCTTCAGCATCACCTGCTCCAGATCCGACGAAGGCCTGAACCCAATTCCTAAGTTAATTAGTCTTGGGGAGAGTTACTTGTACCCGTAGGGCCGTAGGGATTGTATGCATCGGCAACGGCAAAGCGGCGGCACCAGCACCAGCCATAGTCGCATGCGTGCTACTGATACTGCTACTGCGAAATCGCTCGTGTTCGCTGGTTATGCTGGGTTGCTCCACAGAGTCCAGGTCATGAGGAATGTTTTCCCGTACTTGAAATTGCCTGAGCGACTGGCCATTGCGAGCATCTGCCAGAGTTGGTACCGAGTTCTCCCTCCTCGTGATGCAGAGATTTCACGGGCTGTGTACGAGACTTGGCAAAATATTTCGCGTTTTCCATCTCGAACTGCCATGAATTCCAGCTTTCATCCTAAAGCTGCTGCATCGGCTAGCAACTGTCGTGTCGGGAATGGTTGAGGTACGCGGATTGGCCTCGGTCATCGACAAGAACTGGTCTGTGCAGTTCCGTCACAACGACTCACAGGGCTGGGACTCTATTTCCGTCCGACTTGAGTATCTTGGGCGATCTCTGGCGCTCAGGAAAAAATTCCGACCTCGCTTTGTGGGGATCTGTTTTGGACGATTTGAGATTCCAGGCGAATGGCGGAAGGCCGACCGGTACGCGGTCAGTCAGCAAAAAGAACAGCTGGCACAGGTCATGAAGAAGTATGGATTGAGAAAAGCCGACCAGGGAGAAGGGAAATTTGAGTTCTTGAAGGTCATGGTGGGACTCGATGTCTTAATCGACCACATTGATGATTAAATCAGTATAGTTTCGCAAGCTGCAGCATCACCTTTAACGACGGCCTGTGCGTTGTTTCCTGTTTGTGGAGGGGCCGATCGGGCCAGTCAGCAGTACAGCCGCTGACTTCTGCCAGAGGAAAAGTCCCACGGTTGGGCCCGCGGCTCGAACTTGCAGTCTTAGCTCGCAGCATGTCGTGGGAGAAGAGACGCTCCTACGTGCTTCCTCGTGCGAAAGATGTCGAGCTTCTTTGCTTGTGGAGGACGCAGTGATACCACGGGAACAGGCCGCCCAAATGCCATAGACCTAACTTCCCGGAATTGCCCGAAACAGTCCCGTCAGGCTACGAGGTTCCTTCGTGCGTTGTAAAATTCAGACTCATCAGGAAAGTAGTGGCCGGGCGGCGCGTAGTGGCATGGTGCAGCTGGAAGTTGGATCAGCCAGCCTCTATCAGTTTTGTCGGAAGCTCCACGAGATTCC